TCACCAATTTTGGAACGTGATGCAAACCATGGGGATACTATTTGGAACACTGCAGTCGTTATTGATAATAAAGGAGAGGTATTTAATTTTAAAGTACTTTAAAATCTTCTCAAAACCATAATTGCGTTTGTATGTGTAGATTTATGCAGCTTTTTCTACATAAATATCTAATATAAATATAACATAAGTTTTTGTTGCTGCAAATAATTAAATAATATATTAATTAGGTGTGAATGGCATTTTGCCTTGATGCAAGTTGCATCAACTTCCCGATATGTGTATAAATAATCAACTGTTTCTTTCAAAAATAAAGTTTTAGCTTTCACTAAAAACTATTCAATACTATTTCTAATTGAAACCTTACGAACAAACAAGCTTTTATAATATCTCTAACTGGATCAATGTTTAAGTAACCCTTATAAGGTTGAAGGAGAAATTTGTTTTCACCAGAAAATAAAGTATTTTTTTCTACTAATCAATGCCATTTTCAATTTACCCCTTTCTAACAAACAAGTTTATTATAATATCTCTAAATGTATTAATGTTTAAATAACCCTTAACCGTTGAAGGAGAAGTTTGTTTTCATCAGAAATTAAAGTATTTGCTTCCACTAAAAACTAATCAATGCCATTACCAATTTATCCCTTTTTAATAAACAAGCTTATTATAATATCTCTAACTGTATTAATGTTTAAGTAACTCTTAACCGTTGAAGGAAAAGTTTGTTTGCACCAGGAAAAAAAACATGGACTACAGTCTTCGATTTTTTGGGAAAAAAACATGGATCTATTGTCTTTGATTTTTTGGGGAAAAACCATAGACTATCTTTGATTTTTTGTGAAAAAATTTTTGGGGAAAAACCGTAAACTAAAATCTTTGATTTTTTGGGAAAAAATTTTTGGGGAAAAACCATAAACTATAATCTTTGATTTTTTGGGAAAAAATTTTTGGGGAAAAACCATGGACTTTGATTTTTTGGGGGGAAAAATTGTGTTTCAAGTCATTCTGAATTGTTTGAGACTCAATTTGGAAAATGTGTGTATGTTTTTGGGAAAAAAAATTGTGTTTCAAGTCATTCTGAATTGTTTGAGATCCAATTTGGAAAATGTTTATATATGTGTGTGTCGGATTTTTGTTTTTGTTGAATTTTTCTCAAAAAACCTCTGAACCAATTTCAAGTTAAAACCATTCGATTGCGTTTTAGTTTTGCTATACAATCAGCCGAATTTTTTTTTTTACAATTAGCAAAAACGTGCAATATGTTTTGTCCATTTTTTTGCAAAGAATCCTGATATAATCATAATTTAAAATCTGTTTGAAAGATATCGAATGAGATTCATGCTTATTAGCTTTTAGGCAAAAATTGTCCAAGCCGTTTTTTTTTGTAATTAATAAAACTTGGTATATACTGATATAGTTCATGATCTTAAAGAACACCCTATAACATGACTGCGTGGACAAAAAGTCAAATTTTCTCTAACACTTACATGCTTTTAGTGTCAAATGAATTAGAATGTCTATAGTAACATAACATTAACAAATATGATTTTCTGGAAAAAAACATAAATTAAAAAATGTGTATATAATTATTTTTATATGAAGGTTTTGGGCAAACACAGAAAAAATCACATTCCAAGAGTTGGAGACTTTAATGAGTCGACTTATTACATGGAAGGAAACACTGGCCATCCTGTTTTTGAGGTAAATAGATAAATGAATAAAAAATATATATATATATATATATATATATAATATATATATATATATTATATATATATATATATATATATATATATATGAGATTAATTTCTCTACTTTTTATATCGGAGAAACAATTAATTTTTTATATCAGAGAAACGAGCCAAAACCTGAGTAAGCGCCTTCATCAACATGAAAATAACTAAAAAATACCAAACAATTCAAGACCATGTTAACCGAGCATATGAATAATTTAAATCATTATATAGATTTTTTCAACCCAAAAATTTTACATTTTGAAGAAAACATAATTAAACTTCAAAATTCTTTATATATATATATATATATATATATATATATATATATATATGTATGTATATTGATATGTATTTAATATTTATATATGTTTATATTTCTTGAAGACTGATTTTGGAAAACTTGCCATAAACATTTGTTACGGTCGACACCATCCACTCAATTGGACTATGTTTGCAATTAATGGAGCAGAGATCATCTTTAATCCTTCGGCAACTGTAAGTCTACTTATATTATGTATATATATATATATATATATATATATATATATATATATATATAAAATATGTATAAAATTTTTTAGAAGAGAGTAACTGTGATGTTTGTTATAAGTACGATCTGTGAACTAGATATAATGAAAGAAAGATTTTTATGAAACATATTTTTACCAAGATTATAATGTCTGTGAAACAAAAATTTTTGCACAAATGAACCTTTGTTTACAGAGCTTTTGAATAAATTGTTTTTGATATGTTGTATAGTTGAGTTGAAAAGTCTGTATCATGTTTTAAAATGTAAATATGTTCTGTAAGCAGGTTTTAAATGGTAAGGATGTTTAGAATTGTTTTTATGTTGTTGAAGCCGTTTTATGAAATTTTGTCTAGTTTCACCAATATAAATTGAGCAGCAGTCTGAACAATTAATTTGATAAACAGGATTCCTAAGATGTTCTAAAAGTCTATATCATGTTTTAAGGTGTAAATGCGTTTTGTAAGCATAGTTTTGAATGGTAGAGATATTTAGAATTGTTTTTATGTTATTAAAGTTGTTTTATTAAATTTTATCTAGTTTTACCAATATAAATTGAGCAGCAATCTAAACGATTAATTTGATAAACAGGATTCTTAAGATGTTCTAAAAGTCTATATTATGTTTTTAGGTGTGCATGTGTTCTATAAGCATAGTTTTAAATTGCAGGAATATTTAGAATTATTTTTATGTTGTTGAAGTCGTTTTAATAAATTTTGTCTAGTTTCACCTATATAATTTGAGCAGCAATCTAAACAATTAGTCTGATAAACAGGATTCTCCAAAAATGAAAATCACTAACAATTTTAAGTAAAGCCTCATGACAATTATTATTATATATATATATATATATATATATATTATATATATATATATATATATAGTTCAAAGTAACTAGCAGCCCATTCGTCGAAATAAAAAAAGGTATGAAGTATAAAAACTTTTATTTATACGTTTCGACACAAGATGCGTGTCATCATTCAGCAACACAGGACAAAAACACTCAACAAAAATTTATTTTAAAAAATTAAACTTAATAACATATTAGAGAAAAACATTTTTTTAGAAAAAATTATGAATAACTAACAGATTTGAAAACTAATTTGACTAAAAGTTATGAAATATAACATTGTGAAGCAAGAAACACGCCCATAGAGCACCATACTCGAATTTGTCGAGTTTTTTAATTTATACCTTTTTTATTCGACGAATGGGCTGCTAGTTACTTTGAAATATGTTTCAACGACCGAAAAAAAACTATCAAGATATATAAATAGCCTATATATATATATATATATATATATATATATATATTGAATGGTAGAATCTTGGATTTGTGTATATTTTGTAGAGTTTCGAACAAGAATCCAAAAAATAATACAAAATAAAAAACAAGAAAGTTTTTAATAAACAATTTCTTTATTTAATGTTGTTTACTGTCGACGTTTCGGAACTAGGTACGTTCCATCTTCAGGACCTCTGTCAAGAAACATGATCTTGATGAGATTTTAGCAAACAATATGTTTAGGAAAAGAAAATAGATTTTTCTTAAATATAAATTAATTGCAAAAAAAAAAATATAATAATGTACAGAAATATGTTAATATGATCAAAATGAAAATGATAAAAATGATAAAAATAAATGAGTGGATTATCAGAACAGGATATTAACATAATAGAAAATTTTTTTTTTGAAAGTTATGGAAATTTTTTAAGAAAAGGTTAATGACAAAGTTGAATTAATTACCTGTATGTTTGAATATATGTTAGCACTTTTTCACTAAACAAGCTTTTTAACAAAAATGAATTTGTGAGTTAATTTTCCGCCGAATAATTAGATTTTGTAAACCAAAATTACTAAAAGATTTGTCTTTTTTAAAATTATTATTTGAAACACAAATAATATTGTTTTTTTAGATGTTGTGCGATGGGCTTTTGAAAATTAACTAATTGAAACTGGTGTGTCCTTTGTAACACGTGTAAACACTTGAAACGAGAATTGTGAGATTGTATGTGTGTGTTTTTTCATGTTAGGGTGTAAAAAAGTGTGGTCCACCATAAACAAAAAAATTTCAAAAGTACTCTAGTACAACACTCTATAGAAAACGCCCATTCATTTAATTTCACTCCAAAGATTTTATATCATGAAAGTTGCATCTTTAGGAGATTATTCGCGGAAAGTTGTCTCATCCTCTTGAATGTGTCTAACAGTGTTAACATTAGATCAGATCACAACCTATTACATGATTCATATTTAAATTTTTTACACTTTTTGACAAACAATTAATATCGACTTCATTTTAAGCTCAATAATTTAAGTATTTACACCCTAACATGAAAAAACACACACATACAATCTCACAATTCTCGTTTCAAGTGTTTACACGTGTTACAAAGGACACACCAGTTTCAATTAGTTAATTTTCAAAAGCCCATCGCACAACGTCTAAAAAAACAATATTATTTGTGTTTCAAATAATAATTTTAAAAAAGACAAATCTTTTAGTAATTTTGATTTACAAAATCTAATTATTCGGCGGAAAATTAACTCACAAATTCATTTTTGTTAAAAAGCTTGTTTAGTGAAAAAGTGCTAACATATATTCAAACATACAGGTAATTAATTCAACTTTGTCATTAACCTTTTCTTAAAAAATTTTCCATAACTTTCAAAAAAAATTTTCTATTATGTTTAATATCCTGTTCTGATAATCCACTCATTTATTTTTATCATTTTTATCATTTTCATTTCGATCATATTAACATATTTCTGTACATTATTATATTTTTTTTTTTGCAATTAATTTATTATTTAAGAAAAATCTATTTTCTTTTCCTAAACATATTGTTTGCTAAAATCTCATCAAGATCATGTTTCTTGACAGATGTCCTGAAGATGGAACGTACCTAGTTCCGAAACGTCGACAGTAAAACAAATAATTAAATAAAGAAATTGTTTATTAAAAACTTTTCTTGTTTTTATTTTGTATTATTTTTGGATTCTTGTTCGAAACTCTACAAAATAGATATATATATATATATATATATATATATATATATATATTATGTAAATATGAATACACTACACTCTATTTTTACCTTTTCTTTATTTCATTAAGAATACAATTACAAACGTTTCGAGATTATGGTTTTTCTCATTAAAATTAATCTCATTATTAATCTGAATTTTTATGAGCTATAATATCTTATCTATGCACCACCTTAAATAAACTCACACCATACCTTATTATATACCATACTTTATTACATTTATTTATTTATTCATTCATTTATTTATTTATTTAACGTCCATAGCAATATTTACATTAATCTTTTTCTCTAGATTGGGTCCTTAAGTGAACCCCTGTGGCCAGTAGAGGCTCGCTGTGCAGCAATAGCTAACGGGTGCTTCACAGTGGCCATAAATCGTGTGGGAACAGAAGTCTTTGAAAAGGAATTCACTTCAGGAGACGGCAAGGAAGCTCATAAGGACTTTGGTCCGTTTTATGGGTCCAGCTATGTTGCTTCTCCTGATGGACAGCTGAGCGAGGTAAAGAAATGGATATTCTAAATTGAATATTAATTATTAATAACTAATGGATAGTGTTATTAATACTTGTAAATTATTTATTTTACACGTTTATTACTTGTAAATTAATAATTTATATATGCATTTATTTGCATTTGCATTTATTTATTATCATTTTCATAACCTATGATGTTTTTGTATTGGTAGTTTTTGTCTCGAAACAAGGATGGATTGCTTATTGCTGAAATGGATTTGAATTTATGCAGACAAGTCAAAGATCATTGGGGATTCAGAGTAAGTAAATAATTTATAATATATCTTATATACAAAATTCTTCTGTAATGGTGTATGAAAGGATAATCCTCCTAAACAATTATTCGGATTTTGATAAATCTTTCTGAAGTTTGTTAAGGGAATTTTTTAGGATTTTTTGAATTATAGAAATATAGTTAGATTGTATAAATAATTTAAAAAATTACATAAACCTGCTTATCATTGTTTGGCATTGAAAACTAATGAAGACTATCATCTGCCAAACTTTTCAATTCACTTATAGCCTAAGACAATATTAAAATATAATATATTCATGATTATAAATAAGAAAAATGTAATATCTACATTATTATTGCTGAAAAGCATCTGAGATGTGCCAAAAATTAAAATAATATAAGATACAATATATATTTGGCAGATAACAGGCTGCGCATGTGTCAAGATTATTATTTTTTAACAAATGCAGTCGTGTTTTGCCTTACTTGAAGAGATTTTAATAAAATTTTGTAACCCTTTGCAATATGGTCTAACTTAAAACATGAAATTATTTTAATCTTATAGATCTTAATATTTATTTTTGCAAAAAAAATGCTTTTTTAATTTTATTTAATTCGAAATTAAGTTCAAGTCTGCACTCTGGACAACCTGATATCATGCAGTAGTGATATCATTTTTTTCTTTTAACTATTAATTAACTTTTAATATAGATCAAAGATATATTTATATTTGAAAATAGGCGATTTCGGGCACTGTGGTGTGAAATAGCAATGCAAAATCTTTCACACTATTATTCTTAGAATCAAGTTAGAGTATTTAGCTGGTATTTTGTACATTAATATTAAATTCTAAATGACATCTAGCATTTTACATTTAACATTTAGCATCTAAGTAGGTAAATTTAATTTTATTCAATTCGAAATTTAGTTCAAGTCTCTGCTCTGGACAACCTGATATCATGCAGTAGTGATATCAATTTTTATTTAAAATCAAAGATATATGTTTACATTTGAAAATAGGTGAAAAATTAAAAGATATAATTATTTCAAATGTTTAATAATTAATATCATTTATAATGATATATATTAAAGCCATATTTTTTTGCAGATGACTCAGAGACTAGAACTATATGCTGAGAGTTTCACGAAAGCCGTACAGCACGACTTCAAGCCACAGATTGTTAAAAAGTAAATGGAATGTAGGTTGATTTAATATTATACACTTATAATATTTTTTATAATATACACTATATAAATGCATATATATGTATATAATTATAAAAATGATTATTAATAATAATAATCCTAAATAATGAGCCTCTCTTTCTTATAATTATATTCAAATCTTCATTTATAATTATTTCAACATTTTTAACAAACGATAACAGATATCAACATTAATTATAAAACATACTTTTGATTTCCTATTGAAAGTTTTACACACATGTAATAACTTTGAATAAAGATTGTTTGCGAAATCATTTTTTATATATGATTATTACATTATTATCCCAACCTTTTATTCTATAAATTCATCAAACTAGATTAACAATCACACACAGACAGAATGTAGTAGGCGGATAAATATAAATAAACGAGGAATATGTAAGGAAAATTAATTTACTCTTTATTCTAGTCTTGCAATAAGCAAGCCATTACAATTAAAATTATTACAGCTACTATTACATCATTACAATTTTAGTTATTACAGTGAAGTTTTAATTGCTTATAGTGAATGTATAATTTAATTTTTAGTGAGTGTTTATTTAAAAAATATTCAAAAATGTTTGTTTTCTTCTGGGGAAATGGACATATCACTGAAATGTAGAAATAAGTAGTAATATGCCTATTTATTTATGGAAATAGTTATAAATAAGTTATTCAATACAAAAACAATTCAGCAATTACAATAGGAAAGCTATTAGTATTTAGACTCAAAATAACTAATAAGATTTATTACAATTGTAATGAAATAATATAATAGACTTTTGACGATTGTTTTGTTGTATGATAAACCTTTTAGTCATCTTTATATTTGTATAATTTTGATTTGTTATTGTCTGATTATCATATATGTGTGGAATATAACATAATGCATATGAAATTAATTTAGAAATTCAAATTAAACAATCAGAAACAAACTTTGTGCTAGAAGAAAAAGGCGAATCATTAATATTTGTATTTGATTTTATACAACTACAATCAAAATTTAAAAGCAGATTAAGCAATATTGTGATATCTCTCAAATTTTAGCTATTAGATATGGTCAAAGAATATTATATTGCTATTTACTTCAAAGAATATTGCTAGAACTTCCCATACTGAAATTAAAAATCTTGGTACTGAACCCAAAAAAAGTTACACAAAATATATACACAGTATTAAAATCTCTATAAAATATCTGATAATTTGATGTACATAAGTTCAATGGGTGTAAAATTACTACAATGTTTGTAAAAATACTACAATGGGTGTAAACAATACTACAATGGGTGTAAAAATACTACAATGTTTGTAAAAATACTACAATGGGTGTAAAAATACTACAATGGGTGTAAAATTACTACAATGCGTGTAAAATTACTACAATGTTTGTAAACAATACTACAATGGGTGTAAAAATACTACAATGTTTGTAAACAATACTACAATGGGTGTAAAAATACTACAATGTTTGTAAAAATACTACAATGGGTGTAAAAATACTACAATGGGTGTAAAATTACTACAATGGGTGTAAAATTACTACAATGTTTGTAAACAATACTACAATGGGTGTAAAATTACTACAATGTTTGTAAACAATACTACAATGGGTGTAAAATTACTACAATGTTTGTAAACAATACTACAATGGGTGTAAAATTACTACAATGTTTGTAAACAATACTACAATGGGTGTAAAATTACTACAATGTTTGTAAACAATACTACAATGGGTGTAAAATTACTACAATGTTTGTAAACAATACTACAATGGGTGTAAAATTACTACAATGTTTGTAAAAATACTACAATGGGTGTAAATTACTACAATGGGTGTAAAATTACTACAATGGGTGTAAAAATGCTACAATGTTTGTAAAAATACTACAATGGGTGTAAAATACTACAATGGGAGTAAAATTACTACAATGTTTGTAAACAATACTACAATGTTTGTAAAAATACTACAATGGGTGTAAAATTACTACAATGGGTGTAAAATTACTACAATGGGTGTAAAAATACTACAATGGGTGTAAAAATGCTACAATGTTTGTAAAAATACTACAATGGGTGTAAAATTACTACAATGGGAGTAAAATTACTACAATGTTTGTAAACAATACTACAATGGGTGTAAAAATACTACAATGTTTGTAAACAATACTACAATGGGTGTAAAAATACTCAATTACAATGTTGTAAAAATACTACAATGGGTGTAAAATTACTACAATGTTTGTAAACAATACTACAATGGGTGTAAAAAATACAATGTTTGTAAAAATACTACAATGGGTGTAAAAATACTACAATGTTGAAAAATACTACAATGGGTGTAAATTACTACAATGGGTGTAAAATACTACATGTTGTAAACAAATAAACAAATGGGTGTAAAAATGCTACAATGTTTGTAAAAATACTACAATGGTGTAAATTACTACAATGGGAGTAAAATTACTACAATGTTTGTAAACAATACTACAATGGGTGTAAAAAATACTACAATGTTGTAAAACATACTACAATGGGTGTAAAAATGTACAATGTTTGTAAAAATACTACAATGGGTGTAAAATTACTACAATGGGTGTAAAAATACTACAATGTTTGTAAACAATACACAAGGGTGTAAAAATACTACAATGTTTGTAAACATACTACAATGGGTGTAAAAATACTAAATGTTTGTAAACAATACTACAATGGGTGTAAAAATACTACAATGTTTGTAAAAATACTACAATGGGTGTAAAATTACTACAATGGGAGTTAAAATTACTACAATGGGTGTAAAATTACTACAATGTTTGAACAATACTACAATGGGTGTAAAAACATACATGTTTGTAAAAATACTACAATGGTGTAAAAATGCTACAATGTGTAAAAATACTACAATGGTGTAAAATTACTACAATGGGTGTAAAAATACTACAATGTTTGTAAACAATACTACAATGGGTGTAAAAATACTACAAGGTTTGTAAAAATACTACAATGGGTGTAAAAAACTACAATGTTTGTAAACAATACTACAATGGGTGTAAAAATGCTACAATGTTTGTAAAAATACTACAATGGTGTAAAATACTACAATGGGAGTAAAATACTACAATGTTTGTAAACACTACAATGGGGTAAAATACTACAATGTGTAAAATACTACAATGGGTGTAAAATTACTACAATGGGTGTAAAATTACTACAATGTTTGTAAAAATACTACAATGGGTGTAAAAATGCTACAATGTTGTAAAAATACTACATGGGTGTAAAATTACTACAATGGGAGTAAAATACTACAATGTTTGTAAACAATACTACAATGGGTGTAAAAATACTACAATGTTTGTAAACAATACTACAATGGGTGTAAAAATACTACAATGTTTGTAAAAATACTACAATGGGTGTAAAATTACTACAATGGGAGTAAAATTACTACAATGTTTGTAAACAATACTACAATGGGTGTAAAAATACTACAATGGGTGTAAAATTAGGCAATATTTTGATATCTCAAAACTTTTGACTTTGTAACATTCATTCGTTCAGTTGTTCATGACAGTTCGTCTTTGATGGCGGCCATTTTAATGGTGAATTTTGTGACAGATGCATGCAAACTAATTAATTACTGTTTTTAATTAATTTCTTCATTAGTTTTTATTAATTGATGCATTATATTGTTCTACTAATTATGCACATCAATTTGATATAAAATTCATGTTTGATGATATATTTTTAGAGCAGATATGTGACGATGTACTTCAGCCTTAACCTATCTCTGTCAAAATTTTTAATTCTAATTAATTGTATAATCAAATACTTTATTTACAGCTTCCAATGTATCCTTTATATTTATTCATATATGCATTTGTCAAATATGTCAAGTATGTAAGATTCAGAAGGCTGCAAGTACTTCTGTGATGTATCTGTATTTTGTCAAATTCTAGGTCACAAAATTATCTAATGTGTTTGTTGCTTTGTTGTTCGTCGTGTCGTGTGTTGAGTCCCGAAGACTCCACTTGGCCATTTGCAAATTATAAACTAAGTCTATAAAGTCAGTGATCAAAGTAGTGTGATGTAGTGATTCACAAATGTTGAGCGTTGGGACTTCTAGCAGATGCCTTAGAGAATTCATTTTGAGGAGGAGCTCTGGATTGAATTCCTAGCAACCTGTGGAAGCGTCAATGTGAGTCCAAACAAACTTTATACACCGACGAGTCAATGAATACTATTCTGAAATCATAAACAGGAATTTATTGTAAAACAAATAACGTACTGATAATATTGTATTGTATAAATCAAAACTACCTGTATGTATTTCAGTGAATATTTGCTGACTCATGCACATAGACCTTATACTTCATGCACTGCTAGTATTCATATGTTTTCCATTGTACCCATCCATTGTTTTTCAAGAAATGATATTAGTAATTGCCATTATATTATTGAAATGAAACTATCTCAGATCACATTGACTATCATGATAAATATTATTAATATAATTTTTTACACAACTTCATCAGTCAATTGCCATGATATTATTAAAATAACATCTAGCATTTAATCAATCGTGAGAGTTCCTCAGTGCCTTCTATCTTTACACACTTATTTTGCGCTCGACTAGCAGTCCATATTGTATAACGTTTGTACTTGTGCTACATTAGTATTTTATGCACATGTATCTGCTAAATGTTTATTTATTTATTTAAAACAATTGTATAGTCATATTATTGATACAAACACTTATGTCTACAGCTTAAATTCATTTATTTTTAATCTATTCATATTACAGTCTATATATTAGGTAATTTATTTAATAAAAGTTTATTTTTTACATGATATTATGCTTAACTACATTTTGTCATTGTTTTTGCAACTCTAAAATTCAATTTACTCTTTATTTATCTCAAGTACTACTTTAGCAGACGTATGTGCATAAATGTAGAATATTACTTGCAATTTTGTGATCAATCTGTTATTAGCACTTTGTTACATTTGCAAGT